GCAGAACCATGCATTGTTTCTTATTGGGGACAGGTTCTCAATACCTCAGGGGTGAAAAGTAAAAATTAAGATAGATTTTTCCAAGTTGAAGTGTGGAGGATTTTCTATCAGTAAACTACATCTCTCCTTCTGCCATTATAGTCATTATAGCTTTTGTGTTACCTTGCAGTAGTTTCCGGCAGGCCACAGCTCAGTGAGTCCTTAGTATCCATCCTTTCAGAGAGTATTATCTTGGGTTTACTTACACTCATAACTAAATCAGAAGGAAATATCTGTAAAGTACAAGTGCTGCTTGGGGAACTTCTGTCTAGGTTTTACCCTGAATATCCCTTCACTTACTGTTATGGATGTAATTGTGTCTCTCAAGCTATTTGTCATATTGACTATACCTGGATTCCCAGTATTAGGTAATTATGTGCTATAAATCCTCACTGCTCTAATGTTAATGAGATAGGTAGGCAGTTAGATCATCAAGCCTCGTGATGTGATGTGATCTGATCAGTAAATTTGTTGTAAGGGGATAAGGGCTGGATTTAATACTTAATCAGATCAAAGGTCTGATTAGGTTGAAAGGGATATTTTCCTGAAGTGTGGCCAGGGTCATCTTTTGTCTTACAAGAAATAAAAGAATAAATAAACTAATAGTGTGGTGAGGACCTGGGTACTACCAAGAAAAAATAGTAAGGAACGGATCTGAGCTCCTGTGATGTGAGATTCCTAGAACCAAAGATACGTAGCTAGAAGGCCTTCCGTATGAGCTGACATACTGAATTTGAATTTCTATTTTCCTAAATTATGAAGAAAAAATGATCAAATTCTATTTAAGACCACCCACTTGTGATATCTCTGTTTTAGCAGCACAAGGTAAACAAGATATGTACCCATGTTTTGGTTTGTCTCAAGATTTTTCTTATCAGATTTTACAATGGAATTATTGATATCAACTTCAGTGGTCATAGAACTTGAAAGCTGGAAGAGACTTTAGAATTAATTTACTCCAATCCTGTCATCTTATGAATGAAGAGAAAGATCTGCAAATGAACAGTTTATACATTGTTTCTGATGTGCCTAACTAGTATTTTGGTCATTAAAAAAATCTTTAAAAAAAATATATATATATCTATCTATATTTAATGACATTTTAAGTAATGATTTCTACCTTCTCATTGAAAGTATTTATTTGGCATTGTTCTATAATTATTTTGTTCGCCTGATTTTAGGAGAAGAGGTAATAAAGATTACTTTCTTAGGCAACAGGACACATTCCTAGATTTCTAAGTAGTTTATAGTGTTGTTTGTTGTTGTTAGGTGCCATTAAGATTTTGGACTTTATGAGGTTGGACTTAATTAAAGGGAATGTAGCATCAGAATTGGAAGAAGACTCATTAACAACCTGAGATATGCAGAGGACACAACCTTGTTTGTCAAGACGGAGTAGGACCTGATGCATTTGCTTCAAAATGTCAAAGACTGCAGCCTTTCCTATTGATTGAAGCTAAATATTAAGAAGGCAAATATTCTCACTATTGAGCCACTTGGCAGCACCATGATAGATAGATGGAGAAGAAATTGAGACTGTTAACAATTTCAACTTTCTCAGTTCCACAATCAGCGTTCTTGGGACCAGCAGACAATAAATAAAAAGATGAGTTGCACTGGGAAAATCTGCCACAAGGGGCCTCTTCAGAGGGGTAAAGGGTAATGAAGTGAGTGTAGAGAATAAAGTGTGCCTGAACCAGACAATGGTCTTTGCAATTACATCAGAACATTGGACAATGGCAAAGGATGACAAAAGAAGAATCAATGCTCTGAGAAGAGTACTGAACATACTACCACTGTCAAGAGAACAAATAGGTCTGTCCTTTACAGGGTGAAGCCAAGTTTCTCCTTGGAGGCAGGGATTTAGATACTCAATGTGACAGACTGAGCATGTTGTTAGGAGGAACAAGTTCTTGGAGGATATTATACTTGAAAGGGTGGAAGGATAGCACAAGAGAGGAAGACCAAGGATAATATGGATTGACACAGTAACTGGTAATAGGGGATAGGTGTGTCAGAAACAGTGTCATTGGCTCAGAAGAGGGCTCGGTTCAGAGCCATTTTGCATCGGGTCACTATGAGTCACAGTCAACCTGAAGGCATACAACAACAACAATAGTCTTTGACTTTCTGCAGTAAGTACTTCAAGTCTTCACTTTCTGCAAGTAAGGTTTTGTCATATTCCTAAGGAAGTTTGTTGTTAAGTCTTTTCCATTTCTGATGACATATTGTTCTTTTTGTAGTCCAGCTTTTTGAATGATTCTGTCAGCATGAAGATTGAGTATGTATGGAGGAGAGATCCAACCTTAATGCACCTCTCTTAATTTTAATACATCAGGTTTGTATTTGCCTTTATCACTTGTCCTGTTCATTTAATAGTGCTCAGATATTATGTGCTATTAGGAAAAACAAAGAGACACTGTAGAATATTGAATAACTGAGCAAATATTGATAATTAGTGACATTGTATTTTACAAAACAATATTTTCATAAGTAGTCTTATTTTTGTAAAAAAAAGTTTTATTTGTATCTATGTGAAAAAACTACAAAGCAGAGATTGCTTCAAATTTTCACTGTGGTTCTTCTGGAGATTAAATTATGTTACTGTGGGGACACACTTAAGGGAGGCAATCACACTCAGTATCCTAAAACCTCTTCTGTTTGTTTTAATGGGGATAATATTTTTCTTACTCCTGTGCAATCTTGAACAGTAGCCAGGATTCTTCTTCTTACTCTCAGGAAATAAACAGCACTGTTGTTCCATATTCTCCAGCTGCTCTGAGAAAGCAAGATAATCAAGCTCATCCTGTCTGATTTACAACTACTGAAAACCCTGCTGAAAGATTAACTATGAGTCGGTTCTAACTAGGTGACACATGACAACAAAAATTTTTGTTTTATGTGAAAACAGTAGTGATTCAGAAGTTAAATTGTATATAATAAAACACTTTATTCTTAAATTGATGTTCTAGTTTTCATTTACCAGTAAGACATCTCCTGCCTTTCTCATACTAACGTGTACATTAAGTAATAAGAATGGAATTAAGTTTCTTCTTTTTCTATGAATGTTACTTTCTTTCGTAGCCACTAGCTGCAGGCTTGCAATCCTGGTGGGTCTAAAACAGTGAAGAAATTAGGACTTGGACCATGTAGAGCCGTTGTGAGATCTGACTGGTAACTATCTTAAAGGCTGCTTTCTCTGTGGGACACTTGGGAGTCTTTAGGGAAGTCCCAGATTTGAGTGCCTCTACATAGTCATTCTGAGTATTTTGAGGATATTCCTGAGTTAGGATCCATGATCTTGTGGCCTCTTTTGCACAGCCCACCTTGGCTCCATGGGAATTCCTCATGTGTCACTTGTCTTAACCATCCCAGGGAATTCTACTCAAACCCAACCCAGCAGTTCTTTCTGTTCTCTCAAATTACCAAGTGATGCCCAGATCCTGGAGTCCACAGGGCTCCTCTAATGCAGAGCAGTAATCAAATTCTACTTGAAATTCATTTTAGGCTGTTGAGGACAGAGTTGGCAATGGAGATATGGATATGGATTTTTAAACAGGCTGGTCCGTTTCATATCTTTTCTCAGTATTAGTCAGCATTTTGCATCAATTCTTCCTCAGATTATTCTTCTTGTTTCTAATTAGCATGCATGTTTTAGAAGAAAGAAAGAAGAATACAAATGAGCTTGATTTACTCATTATAGAGTAGATTATTCTGTACATCATGTGAATTATTATCAGGAAAGCTCTCCTCTTGAAAAACATATTTGAATGTTTTGTTGGCTGATAACTGGAATGTCTGGAGTTCTACTGTTTTATTTTGATGTTCTTCTTGTTCTTTGCATAACTTGTATAAATAATAAATATTTTGTCAAACAGGTTTTAATAAAAAGAACATGATTGTATGTGTGGCTAAGAAGTTTGGTGGATCTGATGATTGTTTCATAAACCCTCTTTTGAAGACTCATACAAACTGATTTTTCCCAGAATTGTGCCATTCAAGTTTTTCTTAAATAATAAGAGGTGTTGCATATTTTATTTCCATTTCCTCATTGTTAGTATAAGAAGTTTTCAAGATTTTTTTAGCAGATAGAAAATCCATCTAAATTATAATAGTTTACATTTTGTATTGGCCAAAGTTGTGTATTTTGATAAGTAAGAAACTTTGTCCTTTCTCTTTCATCTGAAGACCAACTCCAGCTTGAGACCATCTCCCTTAGACACAACTCCCTTAGACTTGCTTCCAATGACCCTCTGTGTCTCATAACCTCATATGTCAAAGAGTTAGACCATGTTGTGTCTCTCAATGCTTGACTATTATGATTTATAAGTGCTTCTCCTTTCACATTATTCCTGGTACTTACTACATATCCTCTTTGCTTCCTTTATTTTGTTGCTGAAATTCTTCCTTATTTTATCAACTTTGTTTCTGGGGAGGCCAGACTACTGTAAGCTTGTGACAGAGTTAAATCAAGTGCTTATTTTGCCTTAAAGAAGAGCTCTGGTGGCTGAGTGGCAAGGAGCTGCACTGCAATCCCAAAGGCACATTGTCTGAGGCCACCAGCTGCTCCACAGAAGGATGGGCAGTATCCACCTATGCAATTAACTGTCTTTGAAAACCCACTGGAGGGTCAGCTATGGGACAATTCTGACTTATGGTACAGAACAACAACCACCACCACCACTACAACAACAGGTGAATATTATGTGCTAGCTAGGCATCATATATTTACTATATGCTAGGTAATCTTATAGTTTATGATTTTGCCAGGTATCATATACTTTAGTACATGCCAGGTAATCATATACTTTAGTTTTAAAATTCTATAAAGGAGAAGAACAGATTCCATCTTGATGAGATACTGTAGAGAAGAAAAAGTGCAATTGCTTAAGTATCCTTTTCATGATATTGACATGACTAGAATCTAGTGAGAAAGCCCAGCCTTAACTAGTTAATAGCTCTCAGATCTCTGTGTGGAAAGTCAGGGTGCTTCCTGACATCTTCTTTTGGTAGTCCTTGTCAAACTCTTCATTCTGGGCAACAGTGAAATGGTTCTTCCAGTCTCCAGGCATCCCTGAAACAAATCAAAGTCTTAGTGATTGCTAGAGAAGTTCAGGAAGAAGAAATATGTGCTATCAAAATTTTTACAGAGATGGGGAAAAACAGGTAGTTTGGCTTTCAGAATTTGTACAGATGTGTTGTTGATGTAAATGAATATTGAAGCAGGAAACATGAAGAAGAATATCTAAATAGATCACAGAATCCAATTTAATATCATGAGTGTAAGACTCACCTTTTCTCATAAAAGGGCATATGGAGTGATCCATGATGCTGATAGGCAATGTAGTATAGTTGGCCATTGGGTTTTGCTTCATTATATCAAAGGAAGTGTGATAAATAACTTTATTCAGAATTTCTTCAGATATCTCTTTTTCCAGGAATTTCAATATCTTCAGAATTTCCCTCTTTGGGTCCTGTAGTTGAAGAAGTCAATCAAAGCAAACAATTAGATCTTTCATTATGCAGGACATTCTACCTTTTAGGAAACAATCTTTAGTGAGGAATAAGTTAAGGAGTCAATTCAAATACTTTTAATAGATATTTCTAAAGTAAATACTATATTCAAAACCTGTTCATTATCCTGCAGAAAAGAAAAATTGTGGGCATTCTCTGCCCTGAAGAAGTTTACACTGCAATGAAATCAAATCCACTGCACTTGAGTTGATTCCAAGTCATGGCAACTTTTGATCAAGTTGCCAATGTTGTAAATCTTAACAGAAGGAGATGCCACATCTTTCTCCTTTGGACAGTGTGTCACTTCAAACTGTTACCCTTTCAATTAATAGCCAAACACTTTACCTACTATGCCACAAGTGCTTCTTCAAAAGAAGTGAAAAGTATCAACACATCTAGGAAGGTGGAGGGACAGTGAACGAGAGGAAACCTGTTCACCAGGTGGATTTATAACCTCTCCTCCAGGTGGGTTGTTAACTCCGTCAAGGGGTTTAAGTATGTCAGAGATTGTGATGGTGGAATAGGTTAGGATAGTGTTCAGATAGGTTGTTGTGTTGTATGTGACTCTGTAGCATCTAACAACAACAACTGTGACAGCTACCAAGAAAGGACATGCTGTCCCCAATTAGAAGTACTAGAACATTTGAGGGGTGGAGAAAGGAAATGTTCTATTAAGGATAAAAACCTAGATAGTAAAACACAACATGAGTAACATTTGGGTCATAAGGGGTGATAAAAATTCCGTTGAATTGAATAAGAGGCAATCTGGTTACAGGACAAATGATATGCAGAAAGCATGGACTCTATAGTTTTGGTGGGTTTTTAAATTTTATTTTTAGACAATATCTCAGTCATAGAATAGTAGGCACTTTTTTGTATTACTTTTAATCTTTATTAATGCCTTCAACTTGTGCATGATTTAAAACAAAACATGTACTTTCAAAAGCATTCTTATACACATATAGAACAAGGGACAGTTAAGTAATTGATTCCTAAAACATGCACATCAAATTTATTCAGGTGCGTATATGAGAAGGAAATAAACCTTTAAGACTTTTTCTTTGGATTAAAGAAATTTTGAAATTACTAATCAGTAAGGCCAAATATTTTTCTGCAAGAGAAATATATTCTAACAGAGAACGTTGATTCAACTAAAATGCATTTGTGTAAAAGACAAGTTCTGAAAAATGCTTGTCCTATGCATGATGAACAGGAAGAGAAATCCAATGAGAGCCTAAGGTCTTTTTCAAATTGAATCAGGTAGCATGAAAGCTTAAGATAGAAGGACAGGCACCATGAGCCAGATTATACTCAAGGCACAAGACTAGGCTAAACAGGCAGCTGGGTTTTGTACACTAATATTTCTTTCATTGGGAAAATGGTCAAATGTAACATAATTTCCATTTAATGGCACTTAATGATAAATAATGCATTATCTCTAGGGCAGCAAATGTGTTCCTTTCAGATACACATCAGAAAAACATAACGGATACCACAGTAGCCTAAGGTATATGATTATAGATCAATTTTCTTACACTGCAGTTAAATTCACTGAAGTGAAACTATTTTGTATTATTCCTATACTGTAGACTTTCAATTTCACAACACAATCCTTCAAAGTAACCAGATCAAAGAACTTTCATCACAAAAAACACCCAAAGTATTATTCAACACTAATCACGCACAAATGCTGGACTTGTACACAGACTGTATTAAGTTTTGAGCTTCTCCCAGAAGGAAAAATTTTCCCACACTACCTCCCTTCATCCTTCATACAGCTAAATGTGAACTCATCTGCTATGGTTCTGTTTGTTGCTGGGTTTTTTCCTTTCTCTTCAGTGAGCCAGAGCAATTTCCCTTCCCATTCTATGAACAATACAGTTGTCCTAAAGAGCTACAGAATAAATGGTGGGAATGTGTGTGTGTGTATAAACATAACCTTCAACAATATTTAAACCATTTATCTTCCCACTTTTACTGCAATCTGCAATGTGGAAACAGAGGATATAAGACCATTCACTTTATTGTGAATGATCAGCACATTGACCTTTATTCATGAATATGAACAATGATAATAGTGTGTGCTTCTAACGGAAATAAAAATGTTTCATATTTTGACAATCTAGGCTTCAAGAAACAAGCAGCACCAACAGACTAATTCCAATACTGTAAATAACAACTATTTTCCCCATTTATATTCTTTTGAAACATCTGAAACTCTTCAGCAACCAAAGACAATCAGATGAGGCATTAGCAATACTGTATGTCTCTTGAATACTTTTGTGTGCACAAAGTTCATCCTCTTCAAGCTCACAGACCTGTTTTAACTTTGTTGATAGTTTTGTGCAATCCAAAATGGTTCTTAAAGTAGGTATCAGTTTAGACAAACCAAGAAACAAAAGCCTTTTTAAGGCTACTGTTCTAATGATTCAATTTTAACTGCACTTGGATAAACTGGTTGATAGAACAAATATAAATCCAGAGGCATAGAACAAAATTTAAAAAAAAGTGAGCAGAGGGCTGAAGAGACTGACAGATACCAACTGTCAAAAGCAAGAGGTTTGAGTCACTTGGATTATTTTTCTCTCCTTGTTCTCCACTCTTGGTTAATAACTTTTTTAATTTCTTTACACAGCTTTGCCATGTAAATCCACCACAGGCAGGAGACACAATGATATAGATGAAAACAATTGATACAATGATGATGATGATAGTTACCTTAAGATTCTTCGTAGACATGGCTCATGCAAGATTTCTGCTGGTAGTTTTGAAGGTGATAGATGAATCCACAAGATTTTCTGTTTTGTCTATCAATAATTCCAATCTTTCTCCACGTTGAGCTACCAGATCTATGTTTCTGACCATGATTCCTTTCAATTCATCCATTGGGCTTGAGTTTCCACCACTTTGTCTAGGCCCTTATTCTCCGAGTGATGCTTCAATTGTGCAGCCAAAACACTTGAAAACTCGCTATTCATGGCATATGGAAGTGCTGTCTGTGCTCTTGAACCATAAGTAGTTTGGAACCTCTTCTTTATCTCATTCAGAAAATTAAAGGCTCGAGAACGTTCAAAATCATCATCAGTGATACAAAGATACACAATCCTGTCTTGGCAGATGTAATGAAACAAGTAATTGCCATGTGAGTATGTTAGTTTGTTATTTTCAGAAGGTATCTTAGCCAGAATCTGCTCTGTCACCTCCAGGAAGTTTCCTCCACACCAAGCACGTTTGGCAAGGATAGTAGTTCCCCTGGCAACAACAACAAATAGAATGGCCATGGCTTCAATAGAATCGATCCATCTCATCGAAGGTCTTCCTCTCCTGTGCCGTCCCTCTCCAAGTACCAGTCCCTCCTTGCAACATGCCCAAAGTATGTCAGACAAAGCTTCAGAATCCTTGACTCCAAGGAACATTCTGGCTTCACCCTCTCCAGGCCAAACTTGTTTGTTCTCCTAGCAGTCCATGGTATATTCAACACTCTTCTCCAGCACCACAGCTCAAAGGCATCAACTCTCTTTCTATTATGCCTATTCACTGTCCAACTCTCCGATGCATAGTAGTATGTAATTGCAAAGACGATAGCCTGGATCAGG